AGAAGGGTGCTGAACAACTGACCTGATGAAGTTTCAGCTCAGCTTCAGCTGTATATTTCAAGAAAAACAACATTCTATGATCTCGATTTCGAATCAAAAGTTGCTAAATCATGTTTTGAATCGGGCCTGAATTCAGCGTCCGAAACAGTTCTCACTGAGCCGATTGCAGCTACGCGATGTTGCGCACCGATCCGACGAATTATAGCAACCATGCGCGTGTGCATTGTGTCAACGCTTGCACGCGCTTCGCTGAATAAACGAACTACTCGTTAACAGAAATTTCCAACGGTGCTTCTTAAGACGTTGAAAAGGCCTTCTTTTGGTGATTTCTTTAAAATGACAGCTTGCCAGAAAGAATAATTTCACAAGGAGTTTAGTCCCCTTACTATCTTTCAATCAGTATGTTTTTCACCAGTTACTTTTTGGATGATGGATTCTGGCTTTAAAATAGAACATGTATACTTTTTTCGTTAAATTATAACTTACGGTACAAGTAGAAAATCCATTACAATAAAAAATTCCCACATCACAGTACATGTATTTGCTAATTGTTAAATGACTGCATTTAACTTCACATTTTCACATAATTGTAGACAAGCTCAGTAGGCATCTCAAATAAACTTATAGAACCATCATCACACGATATTCACTGCAGATTATGAAGCAATATGCAGCAGGATGTTATAATTACACGAACTGTTCTCTGTATGTTGTCCCTTAAACACTGCTCATGGTAAGTGATGTGGTCTGAATGTGTTTTCATGCCTAGGCTTGGATTTAGCTTGGACTCAATCATGAAACTTGGACTTTAATAGCTTGACTTCTGGAAAAGAGACTGGACTCGATTGGACTCCATCTGCTTGGACTCAACTCGGTGGACTACACTATAATACTGCTGACAGGAGTTCAACCCCATGTGACAACAAAAGTTTTAGCATTTGTTGTTACAAGTTGCCGTACCAAACACGATCACACTTTAAACCTGAAACCCTTTGCCAATTTGTCATGGTGACTACACGTAGGACACCAGCATACGACTAGCTACATGATGTCATCTGAAGTGTCAAATCAACTTGCGAACCAAATCCTCGTCCATTAGCTGATCGATAAATTGTAAAACTGCACTTCAAAGTTGTACCCCATTTCTGACTCTGCAAACAGCAGTCCTACTAGCAACATGAATTGTCACTAAATGATTCCACACACAAAAAGAAAGAATGGCTACTCACCTACAGAAACTCCTCCCCTGTATACAGCACTACACACACAACTGTGGCTGGCCTCACAAACAATCAATGCTAAACTCTTCCAGAAACCAAATCTAAGATTGCAGTACTAAAAAGGTGCAGTACAGAATCGACAAGAACAGAATCCAAGTTACTCTCAAAGGCGAAGGCGCGCAAATGATAAAACCACTTCTGCCCAGCCCCTATTTATAGTCCCGATGACGTCATGCTGGGTAGTTACTCAGAAGAATTAAGCAATTGCCATGCGTTTGTGCTGTGCCACCCTGTAGTTTGATTGGCCTATTTCTCCTGCACCACTCTCGGTCACACTGAACATACCACCCTATTGGTGCACACGTAGATATTTAAATTAGGCTGACCCCTAGATTATTCTGACAATCTAAGCTTCCCCATAGAGCACGTACAATTGTACACTCAGTTTATGAGAAATAAACTGAATACCCAGACTATATTGTTGATTGTACAAATTGGTACCGGGGGTATTCCCTAATAGTTTACCTACAGCGAGCCAGAGAGCTTAGAATCTATTCAAGTTCAGCATTCCTCGTTCCAACGTCACTGCCCCGTTTATTGGGTTTGTATTCTCAGGTCATCCACCATTGACTCTCACAGACCTTGATGCAAATTCTGCCAACAATACCCAATGAAAAAGCTGCCCCACACAATCCCATATTTGGTGCTGCCCCGCTGCTTACGGATTAGCACACCAGGTGAAAGGAATAATGGTGATATGGGACTATTGCTGGTGCTTTTCATTTCTGTTGGAGTACATGTACTCACCTCAGTGACAAAGTCTTTATTAGACAAACTCAATCTGTTTGTCTTTAATGAGTGATTGGCTGACAGCGTACAGCACACACCCAATATGTAAATTCGTTCACATTTTGTGGGGATTACCAAACTATAGACTTTTGGAAACTGTGTTGTACAGGGTGTCCCAAAACAAATGACACCCTAAGGGGCCATTCAGAATTTTCAATGTTTTAAAATTTCGATCTTTTTCCCAAATTGTGGGTGGGTGGGTCAAGCTAAATAATTGAAAATCAAAATTCAGTTTCCATGGAAAAAAGATTAAAAAAAACAAAGAAAGATAGATCTTTTGACTTGCCTGAACAACGCGCAAGCATTCCGATATCGCGATGCGTGTTTCTTTTCCAACTTGGTCCCCTGTGTGTACTGTACATGTACATGTATGTATAGACCCACTGTGGCATGAGAGGGAGGTGGTTTTTCAGTAGAGTTGGAGGAAAGATTTCCATATATACGAAGTTCACTCAACACCCTGTGTACAAACCCCATGAGATTGGACTGAAAAATTCTAAGTGTTTTCTCACTGCTCAAATTGACTTTGATGACATGAAATTGCTATCTGGGGGCTTGTTAGTTAATACAGAGGAAAATTAGTGAACTTCTTATATGAAAATCTTTCCGACTTGGATGCCGGGCGTTTCTAGCGGTTAGGCTGTGCAGAGGCAGCAGGGTACCAGGTGTACTAGATCGGCTCTATAACACGCCGCGGGGGTCAATTACCAATCGCTATAAAAAAACTGGACTATTCAACCACTGGACTCCAAGACTACGAGGACCGCAGCCTGTGATGTGATGACTGCCCAAACCTGATGTTTTTCTTTCGCTCGTACCCCCGCCCTGCAAACTGGGCGGGGGGACGAGGGAATGTTTTTCTCAGCTACCTCACGTGACAGGCACAACCTCGAATGCCACATGTCATCCACCTCATCCAGAAATAGCCCCATAAATGTGGCCAATTTACTGGACTGCCTCCGTAAATAAAGGCCACAATGCCACCATATACAAAAACATGTCGAACTCTGTCAAATTTTGATTTTCACATTTAGGCTTAGTTTGTAGTTTATTTTTGCTTTAGAAGCATACTCACCCCCTTTATAGGCTAATTAGAAAGTGCTGCCTTTTTCAGATGTCTATTTTTTCGTAAAATTTCATGTTGAAATTTTGATACGCAAACGTGTGCAAACGAATCTGGAAATTTCACGAAAAATAGACACCTGAAAAGGCAGCACTTTCTGATTAGCCTAAAAAGAGGGTAAGTATGCTTCTAAAGCAAAAATAAACTACAAACTAAGCCTAAATGTGAAAATCAAAATTTGACAAAGTTCGACATGTTTTTGTACAGTGGTGGCAGTGTAACCTTTATTTACGGAGGTAGTCCAGTAAATTGGCCACATTTATGGGGCTAATCCAGAAAATGACAAAACCACGCGTACGGTCATCTTTGTGGCTTTCAAGACTGCAACCTGTCTTTCCCAACAGCATATCAGCTGGCAAAACGCAAGAAAACTGAAGGCCACCACTGCAAAAGAGGAAGACCGACAACTTCACGCCGTCACTGAACTAGACACGCATGTACATGGGTACACATGTACATGTACATGGGTATACATGTACATGTTCAAGTATATGTATGCCTACACTGTACATGCAAGTGCATGTAGGCCTACAATCTACATGATGTACATGTTCAGTTTTTTATAAATCGAAATTAGGGGTGGGTGGGTGGGTCAAAATAATTTGGAAAAAAGATCGAAATTTTAAAACATTGAAAATTCTGAATGGTCCCTAACTTTGACTGCAACTTCAAAAATAACCAAGCTGGCTCTTTATGTTTTTTTTGCAAGCGGACATTATCATGGGCGTCGCGAGGGGGGGGCAAGGGGGGGCACTTGCCCCCCCCCCCTGGAAAAGCAAAAAAAAAAAAAAAAAAAAAGGAAGAAAAAGAAAAGAAAAAAAAGAAAAAGAAAAAGAGGCGCGAAGACAAAGTGGTGTAAATTTAATGAGTTGGGGGGGGGGGGGCAAAATGTCCCTGCCCCCCTCTAAAACTGATAAATCGAGAATGTGTTGAGAAATACAAGCATTTTTGGGCAAAAAAAAAAATTTGCCCCCTCTAGAAAAAATCCTGGCGACGCCCATGGACATTATCACTAGCAAACAAAATGTGGGTGTCGGAGCAGGGGGGGGGGGGGGGGTTCGCATTTTTTTTTCATGAATTTCTATTGAAAAAAAAATGTTTGACAGAGCTGGGGTTTTTTTTTTGACCCCCCAAACCCCCCTCTGGATCCGCGCCTGTGTAGGCTGGGAATTCTTAACTGTTGAAAACAGCCACTTGATTGATTTGGACTGAAAGGACTACTTGGCACAAAATGTATGTTTGCATAGGAGGGTTTACCAAAATTAACTTTTTTTGACGTGACACAAGAGGGCGCTGTGTAATGACGTCATCTTCACTTGCTTGTGTTTGGCATCCCTCACTGACCATTTGCTGAATGTGAATCTTTGAAACGAAAGTACATTTTGAAAATGAAAAAAGGTCTTCGCTGTCGGCGATTCCGTAAATTTGGGCATAAATGTCAGACACTTTAATGAGCTGCTGTTAGAAAAGTGAATGTGATAGATCACTAATAATGTGACATCTAATGAGTAGAAAACAATTACAGACCAAACAAACGTACCACCACCTTAACGACATTGTACATGTACATCATGTGGTCCGATTGGTCCGTTGGATTTTACGGAATTGCCCCTATGTGAGTATTGTAGTGTGTTGATGGTTAAATTAAACAATTTAACAGGTTAATTAATAACCAGAGTAATAGCATTTCGACTGACAGACAAACATAAAGAAAGTTAAAAACAAAATAATTGTCCTACCTACCCACCTGGATAATTGTTAGGATGTTAGCGTAAACACACACATATTTTCGGCCTAAGTGAACCTACCATGATACGGGTCTTGACGCACATCCATGGCTTGGCCGGTGTCAATTCTTGCTGTCCTCTTTGGAGGTTTGTGGCCATGAACTTCCTGTATGCATCTTCATCGGTCTCTGCAAGCTCATCCAGCATTGACCAAAAGCACTGTGCCTGCTTCATCAGGTCATGTTGGACGCCTGTCGCCATAGTTTACTGAAATTGGAAAAGAAAGGAGGAAAAATTGGAAAATGATGTCCGCAAGATATTCGCAATGGAGCCCTCGCCGATATTCATAAACGGTATTTCACTTTCATCCAGACTGTAAGTATCGTTTAATATCTTGATCTTAAAATCATAAATCTGTAATTGTATCTCAGGTGGCGTATGTAGTAATTCTGCGGCCGTTTTGAGGGTGAAATCTGATGTTTCTGTTGGAAAATGGTTGGGTTGTTAATTGTTTGAAACGCCATGTAAGTACTATCGCCAGATTATGTCCAAATGTTAAAAATAATGCAGAGGCTACTGTTGTGGCAATTGCTATCGTTACAGCATCGTCTGGCTCCCTGACTTAATAGTAAATGTCCTTCGTACAACTGCATGTGCGCACATCACATCACATGACAGCGATAAGGGTCTGTGGATGAACAGTTTGCCACATGCATGCGAAATCATAGCAGGGTACCAACGAAATCAAAGAAAGTGTTCTTGTTTTGAAGTAGATATTTAATTCAAATTGTTGAATGTTTAATGGGACGTTTTGTATTGATCATGTGTATGCTCCAACTTTTGTGCAATTTAAGGAAAGAATTCCATAAATATACATGTATGGACATCACTAATTTTTCCGATAACATGTCCTAAAAAGCCAAATTTTGCAGGGAAAATATTGTAGTATTTACTGAGAAAACACTTGGAACTTTTCTGACCAGTCTCATAATAGGGTTTGTGCACAGGGCGGCAAGTGATGTCCAGGTGGGGTATGGAAGTCTTTCTGCTTTGTTTATCCACAGACCATTGTTGTCATGTGATGTGCACACACGCAGTGGTACATGTACTCCGATGGGGCTTACACTGTGTACTGAGACTTGGGTAATCGTTATCTTCAGAACACCTCTATTTTTTTACCGGTTCCGTTCCGTTCAAAACTGACTTTTGCATGACTGTTCAGTACCAAAACAACTTTTGCGGGCCAGTCTTTTGTCTTCAGATTAACTCATGTTTGTTGTAATTTTGAAACGCACTTTCAAAGAAAATGTGACTTTTCTATCTTTTTTTTTGCAATCAGAGACGCAAGCCAGACAGAATGAAAGCCTGATGCTGATTGGCTGATAACAAATTTTTCAAAAAATGTTAATTTTTTGATAAGCCAATCAGCATGATCAGCATCGAGCCTTCATTGCATCAAGTTTTCACTGTCGCCATAAATTCGAGCCTGTTTTCTGGTTGTCGTCGTCATCTTTTCAAATGACTCTTTTACCCCATAATTTCCCTCATAAATCGAAGACATGCCCACTTTCCACAATATAATAAACAAAATATTCAAGAAGGTATCCTCCCTTGAATGATTGAAAGAAAAAGTGATGTACGTATTGAGTGTCATTTAGTCAGCTGTTTTGAAGAGTCCTTTCTGCCTTTAACCTTATATAGGAACGAGTTCCTAAAGATAACGATTACCGAGACTAGGCCTACTACATGTACTAGGCCTAGTACATGTACTAAAAATAAAAAGGCGAAGTTGGGCACCAAGTTACTCTGGCATGTCAGACGGAAAGAATGCAGCATTCAGCATTTGTGTTCAAAGTCAATGGAAAGTCAAGAAGATTTTCAAAGTATTTTCTAACCACATTGGAAACGCGATTCTCTGTCCCAGATTCATATCTTTTAGGAAAGAGTTCCATACTGGGCCATGACCTGAAAAGTACCAAATCTGATGAAGAAACACAATTTAAGGAGTGCAAAAATTCTTAAAATACTTTAACCACCAGTCAAATTTGCCAACTGCACTTGCCACACTTGCCAACTGCACGCTGAAGCGCGCACCCGACGACTGTTTGTCGGCCAACTTCGGCTGCCGTTCTACCTCTGCCGTGATGCAAGTGAAGACTCATAGTTAGTGCAGCTGTGGTGCATCAAACAGGCATCCGGTGCGCGCTTCAGCGCCATGCCGCGCCGCGCCCAGTCAGTTGCTGTGTCAAGCGTAGCTGCTCTATTTTTTTCGTCCACACAACTGACAGCAACGCGAGGCCAGCGAAAGATGGCCATAAAAAAGGCTTCCGAAAATTCGTGATTTTCATGGCAAACCACAACCCATCCAAACAAACAAAGTTGTTTTCGGTAGTTAAAGACCTACTTCATACATCCATCAAGGTATTTTTTTTCTCAAAAAAAGGATTTCGATGCATTTTGCCGATGTTATTTCACGGACAAATCAACTAAAAATTAGGTCATGAAATTTTGGGTTTTTTCAACAACGACGAAAGTCTCCCAAAGTTGTCAAAGGAAAGAATGAACCTTCATCTACAAAAAATCTCGTGAAAACGTGATGTCGTCAATATTTTAAGAATTTGATGTACACCTAATGTTTCCAACAACTTCTATTTTGTTACAATGCGAAATATCGTCGCCATTGTAAAGCATAGAGCGAGGAACCCAAACACGGTGTGACATTGTGACCCCATATGCCCACTGAATGGTCGAGTTTGAGTATGGTCTGCTTAATATTCATAAGTCATTCATTGCACGTTCGCACGTGCTATTCGCAATTTTTCAAGCCAACGTACGTCAGCGTACTTACTTTCGTTTACACGCGTACATGTGATTGCAAATCATGAAATCTCGCAACGGTCTTCATTTTTTTTAACCAGCGATTTGGACCAAACATTAGAAGTCTCCTGCACGTGTTTCACATGAAAATGAAGCGTATACCTTCCTCTATCTATGAATCTTTGGCCGTTTTTAAGAATCCAATGTACACCTAAAAACTATCGGCCCTCGCTTTTGTCATGTTTGTTGATAAAAAATATGATTTTGTTCGACAGGCCCTGACAACACTTTATACTTGGCAAAAGCAGTTATTTTTGGTATCAAAATAAAGCACACGATTTGAACTTTTCACATATTAAGCCATCTTGGCCAAACAGTACATGTATCCAGGCACTTTTTGTGTTTTCTTTAGTCTCGCATAAATCTTGTAAAACCTCGCGTACGCTTTTGGGCCACGCATGCACGACCTCGAGACAAGAAACTGAGGTCAAACAGGGCTGTGTGCGTGTGAGACACGGCCACTGACTTGCAGTTGGCAAGTGTGACTGGTGGTTTGCTGTGTGTGCATGGTAATCGACAGCGCTTTGCAGTTTGTTGGTGCACAAATCTAGCACCGGGCATCATCATGACCGCACGGCTGTCGGTTAGGCCTATGCATCCTTTTTTCACTGCAACTGCAATTGTACTTTTGTAGGCTGAATCTTCATCGTGGATCATTTTTTTCTTCAAAGACCTGTGAAGTGGGTAAGACCCAGTTGAAATACAATGTAAGTGTGTTTAGGGGAACAAAATTGCACATTTTCGAAATTTTTTTGGACCTGCCAATGCTGCAGTCCAAGTGAAAAACTTCCTCCAGCCCTAAATGACAACCCAATGATAAAATTTAGGGCTGGGTAACTCCAGCTAGGAAAACGACTGTGTTTGGACAAAAAAAACCCAAAAATGCCGATCACCCTAGTGTAGGCCCCTACATGTATGTCACTTTTGAGTGTCATTAAGTCAGCTGTTTTGGTGAGTTCTTTAACCTTGGGTCCTACAGATAACGATTACCGAGACTAGTAGTACAAAATATAAAAAGGCGATGAGTTGGGCACCAAGTTATTCGGGCATATCGAGCAGAAAGAATGCGGCGATCACGAAGTGCAGGGCCCCTGTTTTGTTTTGATCAAATTAGAGTCAAATTTTTTTTTATTGTTCAAAAATCACCTTTACAATCAAAAGCAGACTTTCCTCAATTCTAATGACACCCGTTTTGCAATTTTGAACAGATTCTTTGGTTAGAAATTACGATTTTCCTGCGCGGTTTGTGCCTTGCGATCAAGGGCGGATCCAGAACACAATTTTTTTGGGGGGCCCAAAAAAATTTTGGTCTCCCAAAAATGTTGGTCCAAAAAAAAATGGCGTGGGGTTCGGGGCCCGCTTAAGGGTCCCGAAAATTTTTTGGATTCTATATGCTCTGTGGTGCGATCTAAGGCAATTTCTGACCACTTTAACCAATGTTTTTTTTGAGGAAAAAAAATAATTGGTTTCGTTTTGGGGGGGGGGGGGGGCATGGCCCCCTTTGGCCCCCTTTGCCCCCCCCCGGATCCGCCCTTGCTTGCGATTCAGCATGTCGTGCGTGCCCGCTCACGGTTCATCGAGCGGTGATCGCCATCTTTATTTTCAGGTCGCGTGTTGACGTCGCGCCGCGCTGTCATCATCATTTTACCTCCAAATTTCCCTCATTATTGGCCTCAAAAAATCAAAACCCTGTCCTCTATCTATGAGTCCATACCTGTTCATTGAAAATGTCGCCCAAACTAGCTGGAGTTACCCAGCCCTGAGTTTTATCATTGGGTTGCCATCTAGGGCTGGAGCGCATTTTTCTCAAAACTTGTAGTATTTGCAAAAAAAATTTGGAAAATGTTCAATTTTGTCCCCGTTACACACTAATTGCAACTGCAACTCACCCCAAACTTGCCTGGAATAACCATTACACAGGTCCTTGAAGTAAAAAACGATCCACGATGAAGATTCAGCCTACAATTGCAGTGAAAACAGGAGGAATAACCGCTAACTTGACAACCTTGCTGGATTGGCCAGGACCGCTATTGGTTTGTGCACAAAAAAAATTGTGTACAATGAATGGCGGTCGATTAACAGGCACAGAGAGCGATCGCTGTCAACTACTCGTTTTGCCGGCTGCGCTGGCTGTTGGCGCGTTACGTCACGCGGAAGCGTAACACCCGATGACTGTTTCATGCACTATTGGTTGCGGTTCCAGTACCAAAGCTGTGATGCGAGTGGTAAACCTACACTACACGATCGCCAAGAATGCAGTAGGCCTATTCAGCGTTTGCAATGTGTACAATTTTAAGTCTATGGAAAGTCAAGAAGATTTTCAAAGTATTTTCTAACCAAATTGGAAATGATTGTCAGTCCCAGATTCATGTCTTTTTAACATTTTTGCAATGACTGACCTTTATTGAGATGATACTTGAAGTGGCGTCAGGTTGCAACGTTCTTTCCCCAAACGTTCCCTTTCTTGCTGAACTTCAGGAGTTTCAACTTTCCGCAACTTTTGTTTACTAATCGACCAAGTTGACAAGCGCCCTCTCTAGTTGGACGTAGAAATCTTACGTTCCGAAGGCGCCCTTCTCTCGGGGGGGGGGGGGGGGGGGGGGGGGGGGGTGAAAGAAAATTAAAGTAAACCGTTTGGCACATAATTAAAATGAATTTGTCTTCGTGCGAGAGACTACTATTTTGTTATTTTGTCAGGCGCACCCTTTTTCAACAGAAATGTTTAGTTGACAAAGAAATGTGCAAATATATGGGGTAAGGCGTATGCCCTTACTTTTTAGAAGTGAAACAAACGACTTTCAATAAAGTAAAACGGGTAATTTCTTAGTTTTTAAATTCAAGAGGATTGTGTTGCTTATATGTTCCATGAAAACTGAGTTGGATGGTATTTTTCGCATATATATTCAACGCTATTGTTTCGGTCATATTATTTGTATTGTTAGACGGTTTCTCATGAACACACTATTTATTTTAACCATAGACAGCTTCCCTCAAATTTTAATCGACTTGTGTCACAAGGGCATTACATCTCAACAGGAAACATCAGACACTATATTTAATACACTTAGAGCAGTAGAGTGGTGTCAGTGCCAAAAACCAATCCGAATTAATATAAAGGACATTTACACTTATAATTTTGCCGACTAAAATTTTATTTCAAAGGAGTCCGCGCTTCACAACCACTGGGATTTTGTCCTTGCCATTGTACAGAAACGACCATAGGGACCGTAACGTTGATGCATTGAATTCAATTTCAGCCAGCAGATTGGTCATGACAAATAGAACAAACACACAGAACATTTAGACAACAAATTTTTGTTCTCTCCGTGAATATTATTTTTGTCAACACCGGGACAAAAATGTTTAAAAGAGTTTTAACATTTAAGATCTACTGTAAAATTGCTTGAATAATTAGGGCCGTAATAAATGTCCAAATTTGAAAAAATAATCAGAACAACTGAAACGAGAATGACTTTATAGAGGCGCTGGTCCAATCCGACGATCATGTGGTTACGATAACTCAAAAAAATAATACATGTTACAGAATTGAAATTCGACATTAAATTGAAATCGCGCCTGTTGTCTTAAATAATTCTTTAAAATATCAGAAAGAGTAGCAAAACAATTAAGTATATAAATAGTTTATAAGTTCAATTTGGGTTTATTAGGCTCCAGAAAAATATTTTAAAATGCTGTTTGCTTTCAAATGTAAGAGTCACCTTGGTGTCGCTAAGCCCACAACAGCAAAACACAACAGGTCCACAACAAAACAAAGTAATAAAACAATGATGAATTCAAGACAACTTCAACTTATTTGAAGTTGTCTTGAATTAATCAAAGAAGCTGTCTTCTTGCAGACCGAAGTGGGGGCCACCAGAAATGCCTTTTAAGATAAATCCACCAGGGAACAAGTGAAGACGACTGTTTTAATGCGAAATTGTAGTCTATTCATCCCCGTTGCCACTTTATAATACAAAGAAAGAAAAGAAAGGAAACACTGCACCCCTCCCATAAAATGAAATCTAGCCCCGCCCCTCCACATAAGGAATTGGCAACAACTGGCCTGTCGGTTACCACTTTCTTAATCCCCCAACAATAAATGCTTCTGGATCCATCAGCGATTTAGCTGTGTAATCATTTGTTTAATTGCATGAAGTAAATTTGTGATTAGGTTGATATATTTTTTTAGGAATTTCTTTTGCTATCTTCATTATGAAGCCTGCATGCCTGATTATACAAAACCCAAGTGGTGACCCAGCTGTAGAATTCAGAGGCGGGAGATTCGTCCATCACTGAGGGAGGAATGGAGGCATAACACAACAATCATCTAACCTCAAAGATTTCTCCTTGATTGACTTAAGTCATTGCATGGAATGATTTATTACACGATAATAATCATACAAAGTACACAATGTCAAATATAATCCTTGACGTCTTAAACTTTTCCCCAAATTTCTGGAACAAAGGAAAAGAAGAGATCAGAAATGTTTCTGCACCAATAACAAATAATACAAATTACATACAAATTTCAACAAAAATTTCGTTCACAGTTAACCATATCAAAGCCAAATCAACTTACTTCCGCCAAACGGTGCAATATCAGATTTTTAATTTTTATTTGAAAATTTAACAAGGAAATTGACTGTAGCAGGATTACCATTCCAGATCACCGTATCGGAACAGGAATCCAGAGGTCACCAGGTCAAACCAGCTCCAGTCAATGTCTTTGTTCAACTTTCAAGTTATACATGTATTATAATGCACCGAGACAGTTCTCCTTTGTGGTTTATTTTTATTACAACATGTAACTTAAGTTGCACGAAAAGATCCAGGTCAACTTTCAATGTCTATTTGATAATAACGAAATAACGTTTGGGAAAAACAGAAGCACAGTAACTGAGGACATTTCAATAACCAGTGTTTGTGTAACGGGAGCACAGTCACTGGTTGGAGAAGCGTCAGGAACTATGACAATGTTCTACATAAAGGATGAAGGTTTTATTTCGCTCCATTTTAGTAAACGTGAAACAGAAACCAAACTTTCCAGAAGTCAGCAGATTATCTTGACTTGGAGTTCGTACCCGAGTGATGACCTTATCTTACAGAGTTGCACATTAATGATCACAAGATAAAAATCACATGTAGTTTGTAAACCATGGCTTAAAGGCATATAGGAACATTTGTATTTCATGTGTTTTGTTTGTTTCCAATACATTGTGATATCATCACTGTTCCACAGAAGAATACTCAAAATGTTGAGGCTTTGGATATTACACTTTTCAAGAAAAGAGTGAAATATCCATGCACAAACTTTTCATCAATAAAAGCGATTTTGTCCATAGAACTCCTTTATATCCGAACACCAGTCAATTGACTGATCATTGGAAATCACCTACATTTCTTGATTTCTGCTTAATGACAGCAAGCCAGATGGAATAATTTCACAGGGTGTTTAGTACCAGTGCGATCTTTAATCCAAGTGAGCTTTTTTACTACAATTCGGTAGGTTACTATTGGGATAATTACAAATGATCCCATCCATCCCTTTAAATGTGTAAATTAATTTAAAATTGCAATCAGTTCGGCTTTGAAGTTACAATGTGTAAATCTCATTTTAATCAAAATATTCTTTCATATGTCATGCCAGCAACAACAGTTAGACATTATTTACATTAGTTTACATTTCGATATATCAAAACGTTGATTCAAAGTATACCTTTTCTCTCCTGCAGAACTACTATCACCAAAATGAACGGTTGCATTTGGGCATGTTATAAACCACTGCTATCACCTAGGCAACTGCAAAAAATCAAAACTGTTAGAAACAAAAATGTCAGTTTTTGTACAGAATATTGATCATACTTGGAATAAACAAATCTAGTGTCGACCAATACTTTGAAGAGGCTTGCAATGATAAAAACAAGCAAATTGTTCGACTTGTACCTATTCCAACATAATCAGAAACACAGAAACATGTGCGCGTATACAACAATTGCAACGATTGGTCCTGAATGAGCAAACATGACTGTCCTCTGACAAAAATGCATCATTTGGCAATGCAACATTCTACATGTATATATTATACATGAATTGTTTGACAGTATGAACACTGGTTTAGTAATTCTCAATATGGACATAGGCCTACACATGTAGTTGAATAGTAAACAAAATCCATGTTATACTGTCCTTACACAACTGGACCACTTTAAAGGTATATTACATAAAAAGTAAAGGTTAAAGATCTATACAGAAGTAAGCAAACTGGAATCATAATTTTTGCCATTGTACGCGTAATTTACATTAATTTACACAAACTATTTGATAAAGAATGAAGCACAAACACTCAAAAGAAAAGTCTGTTTGAAAGGAATGAAGTTGTGAGAATTTTCCGAATTTGTACATAAGGCAAACGCAAAACAATTCAAAAGTACCCGAGGTTTGGAGTATTATTCTCTATACTAAATTTTGCACAGCACTGGTCTATGGAAGGGTGTCATGCAGCCATTTGCGTGTGGTCAAATTAGTTGTTTGAATGCCATATTACTACATTGATCGGATAAACAGGGTAGGAGGCCTTTGTCACAAAAGTTGAAGACATCTCACACATCTTTTACCTAAGATGATGCGATACAAGATAATTTTCTCAAAAGAAATGGAAAGGAGAGGTGGATTCTCCTGTTTAATTGACGATTAGATTGTAGATTTATAATAGTACTCAGAGGTCACCCAAGATACAAGGTCAATTTAATATCACTTTCAAGTGACACCCAGAATGCTTAGTACAGTGCTATTATGTTTGAAGATTTCAATGAATCATTTTGTACAGGAATTGTTGATTGACTTTTCACACTGATTGATTGATTAACTGATGGATTGAATTTTTGGGGGATGGAGGTTCAGTAGAATGAAGAACTATGCTTGGTATATTTGTATTCATAATGTAAGAGGATTCCGAAAACATCTATTTGTATTGAAACTGTTTTGTTGACTTTTTCATTCATTATCGAGCCCCTTATTGTCCTCTGAAAATAAAGTTGTTGTTGTTATTGATTGTTGTTGTTGTTGTTGTTTTTTAAGTGATTCTTTTTGGGGGGGGGGGGGAGAAGGTTGCAGAGCATTGACTTCACATAAAATGACCCATGATACGTGCTACTTGTTTCAATTTAATGCAGCTCGTGAGCGTGGTGCATTCATAGGGACCAAGGTGAGAGTTATGACTTGGTGGGAGAATATTTAGGCTTCGAATTCTCCTTCTTCTATTTCCTTCAGGTGAGGGAGGTCTTGACTGACAACTTGCCTGACGAGCTCAGGAGGGAGGCTGATGTTACAAAGCCACAACAAATGTAACTTAGGGAGACCTCGGAGATGATGAGTGAGAGCCCTCACTACATCCAAACTGAATGCATTGTCACTAA